GTACTCTAGCTGCTAATCCCTGGACTAGACTTCGTTTTATATTTAGGGGAACTAAACTGTGAAAGTTGGTGTATTGTCCCGTCCAGGTATTTCTTTCGGAATACCCTACGCAGGATCGATCGATCATTTTGCCTTCGCAGAAGGACATTAAGGAATGCAATTTCATTATTAACCTCAGTCTCTGCAGAAAACCTGAGCGCTGGATGCACGCTTTTAAACTTCCTGACCATTGCGTCAGTATCAGTGTTGTAGTCTGTCAGACAGGAGATATCATCCATATATCGACCGTAAAATGCAAGGTCATTGATGGTGCCTCTTAAACTCGTTCTCTCAATCTTGCCCATAAAGACATTTGCGAGGAATGGGCCAAGTGGTGAGCCCATCGCCACGCCATCTATCTGTCTGTAGAGGCTGCCATTGCAGAGGAATCGCACATTTTGTGTGCACGGAGTAAGTAATTCTTTGAGTGTTTTCACGGGCATACCCACCTGGTAGTTTGTGTCCCGAATAAAATCACAGAGGTAGTTTATTGTTTCTACTACGGGTACGTTGGTAAAAAGGTGATGATACATTCAAGGTGAGCATCTTTCTTCCACCAAATTTTATGTTCTTTATAGCTTCGACAAACTCAAATATGTCCTTTAAGTTTCGAGGATATAGGTGACTTCCAAGCGGCTTTAGCTTTTCTACCAACCATTTGTCAATGGAATGATAAGAGCATTTTCGCATATCTAAGATAAGACGTAAGGGTAGCCCCTGTTTGTGAATTTTCGGAAGGGCATTCATTTTAGGTATCGTCGTTCCTACAGGTCTTAGTCTTTCCAGCTCCTTGTCGGTCAAAAGACCTTTATGGAGGTCTTTGAAAATTGTAGTCAGCTGACCCTCGACGGCCTTTGTCCGATCTGAGAAAGACGACCGAGGTGGTTTGGGCACATTTTTTGTCTTCAACCTCACGAGCTCATTGATACTGCCCTCGGCCAACAACTGTTATCTAATTGGATACGTCGAAGAGTAGTTGGAAGACACAGAAAAGCCGAGACCTCGACCGGCTTGAGCCAAGGGTCCGCGGGGGTGAGTTGGGTGCCTGGCGATAATTGTCGGCACTGGACGATTTATTAACTGTGGACAATGGCTTAATGGGTGTGGGCCCATATGCCTATTTGCCTTATGTTGACAAATTCATATAGAATACTGTTGAAAATCCTCCTCAGAACCGGTCAGTAAACGACCGTTGGTGGTCCTTTTCGATTAATTAGAATATTGGATCCACATATCCGAGTCCAAAAAGGTGTTGAAAATAAAATTTAAACCTTTGCAGCATGTAACGTAAAACTTGTTGAATGTTGCCACTATACTATGCGTACTTAAAATAGCGTCGTGGTACAATACGGTCCCTGGCACCTGAACCCCCTAGGACTACAGTATA